CTTCCATTGACTGAGACTCGCGTTACCTTAGTTCTCGCTCTCTAACACTAAACACCTTGACGTGTGCTTCAGATGCAGACGCCAGATCTTCGTTCCACCCTGGTGCATCATCGATTGTGGTTGAAGTTTCATGATGGGTTCTGGACAAGTTTCTTCATTTCTCTCGCTCCAATATCTGCGATGAAGGAATTTCGTTCTGTTTCAGGTTGGAGCGGACGTACTTCTGGATCATTGTCATGCATCGTACTTTGGCAATAAAGTCATGATGAGCAAAGTAGTATGCAGTTTTGAATTCGAAACCTATACCTAGTGTACCGTCTTCGGTCATCATACAATCAGCTTCTAGACTTGAAGGTGTCTGTGTTATGGGCGCACCTCGCACTTGCATATCGTGACGAAACTCCGAGACTTCCGGAAACTCTCTTTATAGAGCATCGTACTGCAGTAAGGTAGCTCATTGAGTATGGGTTGCTTGGCGGATGTGACACTCGTACACTTGAAATTGAAATACAACTGCGTGCCCCTAACGTCATCTGAGCCAAAAGTTTATAATGTTATAGCATGGGAGCTCCTTATTTTGGCATCTATACGACGCCGGCCAGCTGGGAACAACGTTGCCGCTGTGCATGAACGTTTCAGTACCCTCCTCCAACAAGAATTGAGGGTACCAGAAATGGGTTTCGCATCAGTTTCATCACTTATCAAAGTTGCAGTACCCTTCCCACAAATTTCGCGTCTTTTTTGCGAACACCGATGACCGAGGCAGATGAGAGCGGGAATTCAATTAAGCATTTGAGGTGTGTGCGCCGGCAGCCCAAAGGTGAGTAATCTGCTTGTGGCACTCCATCAATTCTCTCTGGATTGTCAGGTTCGTTTGCCAGTAGGATTTGATCGGCTTGTTGAGTCAATGTTGCAAGGTGGTGCATCTGCAGCGCATGACTCTGGATTGACTGGATTATGAATGGAGGCGGGACAGAGTGGAAGGACGCTTGGTTGAGGAGGGATATAGCAAGATTATAAAAGCGCGGTTGTAGTGCATCAGCTAGAGGATGGACGAGACCTCGCTTCATGCATCACTGGAGATAGATTGTGAACTGTGGACTAAATTAACTGTCAATACAATCATGTCGGAGAATGTAAGTGTTTCGAAACAATGAGTTCTCAAGCACAAGCACAATTTGTAGGTCACTATTCGTTGTGCAATGTGCAAACTCAGTTGGTGTGGTCACTGCACGTTCCTACATGGTAATTGTAAGAGAGTACATGGTAGTCGTAAGAGAGAGAAAAGGTGTGTATCTGAAGCGTTCTGATCACTGGATGACATTATGGTTCAACTAGCTGCGGTAGTATGTTCTCGAAATGCCAGCTTGTACTTGTTTGTCTCCAACTGTCACGGTGCTTCATAACTTCAACTTGAACTTGAAGTTGCCAAAGAAATTTACGACAAATGTTTCCCTTTAATGCACGCGTCTTTCCTCCGTCTCTCGTGTCCATCGCATTTCTGCACATTAACACACCTATGAGCAGTCGAGTATCATCATAATATGTACTAGATTTTTGACAGTAAGTAAAGGACCTCTCTCTTGGCTAGCAACAAAGGGTGATGGGTACTGTCCTTCTGCAGGGTTGGCCATCGAGTGGGTCGACATGAAATAATTCGCAAGGTACTACGTCGGGCGATCATATCTGCTTGTCACAGACGTACTAGGTCCGAATTTGAAGGAACATCGATCAATCTACCTACCCGTGCGAAACTTTCCACATGTCGGGTGCGAAACGCATGATGTGTTAAGTCCTTATTATCTTAACCGCCAGTAGACCTTGCTTCTGTGATTCCGGAGTAACTATTTTCTCACTTTTGCTTATTTGTTTGTAGAGGACGAGATTTTTTGGTAGTGCAACGACCATCTCAAAGGAGTCAGGCAAAACTGTGCAGCATTTTACCTGGCCCCTTAATTGCGCGGGTAACAGTCACTAGGCGCGTTCAACCGGCAGGCCTAGATATTCTCATGCGAGAGCTCCCAGTCAAAAGGCACAGGTAAGAAACGGGACGGCGACCGATAAATAACTGCATCTCGAGGGCATGGTGAATATTGATTTTGATGTAAGATCCCGTTCCCGTGAAGTCTCCCTAGGACATTCGATTTCCTACGACCCCACCACAGCAAATTAATGCTGCCTGCAAAATGTTGAAATTTTCTGGGAAAAAAAGAAGTTCAGTGGCGGGATTGGTAGCCCGCCATTGCCGACGCGGTGGGATTCATCAAGACTCCAGCGGTTTTCATATTGATGCAAGGGTTTGGAAAATTCGTCTAAGCGCCCCTGTTTACCTGTGGAGCGTTGCAACAAAATATTCTGTGTGGTGTAAGTAGATGAGGTCTCTGCAGGTCTTTGGACAAGGAAACATCTGGGTTGCGAGAGCCGAAGCACACGGTTTGACAATTCGATGGCTCGATCCTGTCTAGTACTTGCGCTGTGACCTTCAAGCTCCTGCCGCATGCGGGCACGTCGACCCATTGCTGTTTCGTGGCCTCTGGTATGTGTCAACGTTATAGTTGGCGTTGCAGTACTCTCAATGTAACACGTTACCAAAGCATTCTACTTGGTACCGAAATAAAGGCTCGTCTATCGGTATAGATTATTTGTGATTCAGGCCTTCACTACCATTCCTTAGTCTGGATCCCTTCAACTTAGTGTAGATTGTTTATCCGCCGACCATGTGATTCTGCCTATCGTACTGAAGTCCGCCAGCTGCAACCGTTCTGATAGAACTGCCGAGTGTTTCACGATTTATGGGATATATAAGCAGGCCGTCGACTGTTCTTATTGCCAGTATCATTCGAGATCCCCTCCACACATCCAAATTACCTAGCACAAGACATGCATTTTTCATTCCTCCTCACTGTTGTCGCTGTTTTGACAACATCCATGTCTGTTAGTGCATGTGCAGACCTAAACGGGGTTTGCGGCTCGAGTAGCGCGGAAGGCGATACATGCTGCACGGGCCTTGCTTGCAACTTGGGTGTGAGTATGATTCATCCGCTTTGGATCCATAATTCAACTCCACGACTTACCTCATTGTGCCTTGTACCATAGCCTCTCAGCGGCTCCGGAGCAATCTTGTACTGCCACTAACCCTCTTTTGAGTGGCTTGGAATACTGACCATGTTCGCGACAGTGAGTCGTCTCTCTGCTTTTACGTTGGCCCAGTGGTTGATCACACAATATGCAGTTGATCGATATGCTTACTATTCAAGTTGCCGCACGAATTTCTGGGCTGCCTCAAATAGACTCTAGAATAACATGCCATTAAAAAACTTCCTTGCAAATTGATAAAACACGTTTATGTCGGCTTGTGTACGATTTTCCATTGATGCACAAGAAAACTGGTGTGTTCAGCCGACATCAAAGCTGAAGATCGTTGAGAAGAAAGAAAGCAACCGTTTTATATCGCTCTAGCTGTAAGACTGTCGTCCCTTAACAGTTACGCCAAAAGGCAGTGATAATCAAAGCTCATGCATCATGCTTGATTATCGCGGACAGTATTTAAGTTGATTATGGGAACTAAGGTAAGCAACGAGCTTACACTAGCCAGGACACAGGGGCAAGTAACGTGATTTCTCATTATGCGCAACCCCGAAAACACCGGCCACAAACGATGCTCGTTGCGAGATTAGGCGTGCTCAATATTTTACCGTCTCGACTCTCGATACTCTCTCTCGACCCTTGCTCAGCGCAGACGCACACTCAGGAGATGTTGAACGTTCGTTGCAAGTGCTTGCTATGTCAAGAATTTGATTACACAGGTCGTATCATAGGATACCCACCGGATCACATTAACTCATACCATTTACTTTTGGGTCTCCTTACTTTCTACCTAGGCATCAAACTACCTTTCAAAGTTTCGCGTTCTTGCAGAAGACTCAGGGTTAGTATACCTTGAATCGGTGCAGGACGAGGGAGTGAATCATTGGCAAAGTGCGTCTTTCGTCACTTACCGTATTTTTTACTTGAACTTTTCGCATTCTCTCCTTCCACGCATAGATGGACAGCCAAATATCATATGCACCCAACCTCCCAAACCATCCTCTACACCATCATCTCCCTCCTCATCGCCATCCTATACACCCACGTTAGCTGACGCAGGCTTTAGAACAGGCACCAGCCCACGCCAAAAACCAATCATTCACGACCGGCTTTGCAGTGCTTCTTTACAATGTGTATTATCTTGCTCATACCCAAGGTGTCGACATTCCCTTGTCCCGGGCAGGCGATGCATTGGGTAATTCATGGACTGTATGACGTAGCGGAGAGCTTAGGTGGTAAGTTTCCTTTTATTCATCTTTGAAACCTTCGGCACTCTATTCCTGCTTCGTTGTTTATTCGTTCTGTCATCCAAATTTGGCGTTCTCTGATTGATATCATCACAGTCAATCGCACTCTACCACCCCGCTCTTCTTATCTCCAACACCTCCCTCGTTCAAGCTCGAATTTCCACAGGTCCTTCAAGCTACTGCTGCTAGTCCTGCTCGGGCGGTACGAATACGGCCAGGACATTCAGCGCAAGAAGCTGGCATTGGGAGAATGAGGAGTGAATGTATCGTGGAGGAGGAGGATGGCTGGAATATAGTAGAGCTTGGTGGAGAAGTGGGATTTGGATAATCTGAATCTGGTGCAGCTGGCTTGATGCCCTGCCTACTAGTACCTGCGCGAGTTCGAGTGGGAGTGGGAGCTCAACTTGTGGTATAAGCTCTGAATCTGCTTCTCTTATCACGAACATCTCTGTGTCGCTTACTCTTCTTCCCTCTGTGGCAGCTGCTTCACCCTCTTCCTCTAAGCAGAGCCCGTCTAGCATATGTGTCACGTGAACGGCCTACTACTCGAGCGTAGATTATCGCACTTTCATTCTCATCGATGCAATTCAAACTGATGCACATATATGCATCTAATCTCCCCAAGTCAGATCATCAAAAGGAAAACAGTTGTTATTTATATATACAATGCATCAGGCTCTGCTCATTCCCGAAGTCCTCCTGGAGATATTCGTGCATGTGACCGAGACGATCCTGAAGCCATTTGGGCCGGCCGGAAATATTGTTATATTATTGTACCGGGAATCCCTTGCAGCGCTTGCAACGACATGCAAAGCCTTTCACGATCCTGCGATGGATCTGCTGTGGGGTGAAATAGACATAGAGTCACTGTTAGGATGTGTAACGAGGCTACATCCGCTGATGTATTGTAGTGGTCGACTGGTGAGTACAGACTAGTTCATTTCTTCCGCTTCTTGGCTGACTGAGCATCTACATAGTGGAACTGGGCAGAAGGCGTCAGGCCCTTATCTGCCGATGAGGTCCATCAATTTTTGCGTCACTCCGCCCGCGTTCGCTCATTGACGATTTTATCCAATCGCCTTTTGCAACCTTTTCTCAGTCATCCCCGCCGAGTTATACGACTTCCCGAGACTAAAATCGTTGACTATTTCCACCAAATATTTGAACCTCTTCCTGTCCCACACGCTGCACCGTCGTTATCTAGTGACCGTCGATGAAGATCTACGATCTATTGTGACCTGTTGTGCTACTTTGGAGCACTTAAACGTCATCACTCCTGATGCCGCCAATGCCATTGACAGCACATCAGATGCGCTGTCCCGTATTTCTGACATTGTCCGTTCGTGCAAGCAGCTTGTAACTCTGTCTTGTCCACTGTTTGACTGGGCAGCGTGGAGGCACCTCTCAAACCTACCTACCCTTACCAGATTGGATGTTGGTGACACGCGCAGTGACCCTGCCCCTCCTTGGCCATTGGAACGGGATATCGCCAATTTTTCACCATTCAGTAACATCACTGCTCTTTCCTTCCTGCTACACAGTGCTGCATACGCTATCACAGTCATGCAACATTCACAATTCCCTTCGCTGAAAGAATTCAAGATGGATGTCGATTTTCTGCCTTTACCTGAGGCTGAGCAACTCTTTCGTGCGCTGTCCAACTGCAAAGCATGCGAGACTCTAGAAAAAATTCGTGTTTATTCCTCGTATCATAAATATGATCCCCAAAACAACTCGTTGTCAGCCATTCCACATTTCCATTGCTTCACACATCTCCGAACCCTGCATCTCGCGTGTTTTGATTTCTGCATCAACCTGGACGATAACATTCTCTTGGAAGCCATGTCAACTTGGCCGCACATGCACGATCTCGAAATAGATGACTTGCGTCTTCATCACTCTCCCATTACATTCCGCGGAATTTTCACAGCGATCCGTCTGTGTCCACAATTACATACGCTGCGAGTTCCAATCGACAGCACGACTTTCAATATCGATGTTGAGCCAACACAACATACCTTCCTACGGGTATTGGAGTTGAAGACACCCATGTTTCAAATAGCAAATGCTGAAGCTCTCGCTCGCATCATTTTCTCCTGTCTCCCTCGTATCGACCGAATTTTGGGGTCCATACAATGTGATTGGGATGAAGTCAACATGCATATCAAATCTTTGAAAGATGCTGCGCTACATGTCACAGGAGCTGCCTCGAATACTTGAGTTTGGGATATATCATTTGTTTTCGGGCAATATGTTCGAGTTGCTTCATTCCTTTTCGTATCCGTTTGTTCGTGCCTGTCGTACGAGTCGTACGTTATAGAGTCCTATGATTGCCACTGTTTTCTCCCATCTTACACTAAGTACTGTATGACTTTCACGCATTTCTGTAGAGTATCTCGGGCCACTTGCCAATCTGAAAACCCAAGATCCAGAAACGAGCCTTTGGGGCGCTTTCTGGGAGCATAGAGTTGGCCCGCGCACCTTTTTAGTCGTTATTGCACTAAGTTGACTGGGCTCCTTACAATTACAGTTTGTAACCGTGTGAGAATTGACAAGTATGCATCATGATGCATGTGCATGATGAACAGTTCAGCATGTGCTGCGAATGTCCGAATGTTATATTCTGCCTAGTACTTGCCATTGGCAAGTCTTGCGTGCATGTAAATATAATCGCCGCCATGTCCACGATCAGCACGGTATCTTCGACCGTCCAGACTCCGTAGAGAAATGGTAGATGGTTGAATGAAGCCTTCAATTCAGACTTGCCGCAAGTTCCCCGAGGAGTCCATAGCGCCTGCTGAGTTGGGGTGGGAAGTATCTTCAAATAAGTAATTACGTAATATTATCGAGTTGTAGATGTTAGTCCCCGCCTTTTCATCTCTCAAGATCTCAGATCTCAAGGCCTAACCATTGTATCTCTTTAACGTGCTCCCTCATCGCTTCCGAATCATATCTACAAATGTGCCTGCAAATTGTACAGGCACCAAATCCGGAGCGCCACACCTTTTGCTTCCTAATGCCATGATCCCTCTTGTTTCGTCATCGAGAGAGCGTTTGGCAAGTTGAGTCAAGACTACATCAGCTAATGACTCCGAACGGTACATAAGTCTCCATTCCTTGCATCCGAAGAAGCTGATACTATCGGTACAACCATTCATTCCAAATTTCCGAAGCCTACTCTACTAGTAGCCTAGCACAAAGATATTGGAATGGAAGAGTCGACCGATCTCGCGTCCGAGAGCCCTCTTGGTTGGTGAGTATAATAGATGAACAACAGGCTTCAAGTTAGTTTGGCCTTTCTCCTAGTCCTATCACACACACATACTCAGTTCTATTCTTTTGATCATGTCTACTTGTACCGTCCCTTCAGGAAACTATATGATTGAGAGCGCCGACTCCAAGGGGCAATTTTTGACGGTGGAAAACGGGAATATCCAGCTCCACTCGGAAGACTCCCACAGCGTACAAGTCGTGCGTCAGGCTCCCGGTTTCATGTGTCACTGCAGCTACTCACAGATATGTAGTGGAAACTCACGATCAGCGATAATTGGGTGAACTTCCAAGGCGTACCGCCTGATGGAAAGGAAGGAAAAATTATTGGTGTCAGCACGGGGGTAAGTTTGACCTATTTTGTCTGATGTACGAGAATCCTCCTGACTTATATCCAGGCGTCCACACTGGTTTATGGCGATGGCATTCTGGAGGACTTTCAGCTGGAGAGCGCCGCCAACAATACTTTTCGGTACGTACATCTAACAACTGTTGTAGGTTCAGCATTGAGTGCTTCCCTCAGGGTGACGTTCGAGTACTATGAACTAGGCCTGTACTGGACAGATTAATGGGGACTCCGTAGGTCTTGGCGTTAATCAGTTTGCGCCGCCGCTTACAAGATGTGTACAGGTCTCGTTCACCAGCAACCAGACTTATGCAGCGAAATGGAAGTTGACGAAGTGTTCGAAATGATGTACTGAACAATGAGATATCCCAATTCTGGCGATAAATTGTGTCTATACAACGTGTAGTCTACATCTTGACTGGGATTCTGTATATAACAGCATGCAAATTGTCAGGGGACCGAAATACTTCTGGAGGGATGAGGGATCTTTGTCGTCATATGTTGTTTCGCTAGATTGTGGTCACAAATTATAATGCACAGTCAGTGCTTCTAAAGTGTATTCAACTGCACTTATCAGAGCGATGGACGATTCGATGTTGGTCGAAACCTGGGCAGTGAGTTCATTGGCGCTCTATTCCTGCTTCATTATTAATTCGTTCTGTAATGCAAAATTGACGTTCTCTGATTAGAATTATGATCTCCCATTGCAGTTGGTCGCACTTTACCAGTCCGTTCCTCTTGCATCTGACCTCTCCCTCGTTCATGTCATTCAACCCACTGTTGCTAGTCCTGCTCGAGCAGTACGAATGCGGTCGGAACGTTCAGCGCAAGAAGCTGGCATTGGGAGAATGAGAAACCGTGTTGTGGAAGAGGAAGGCTCAGATGTAGTAGATCTTGGTGAAGAGGAATCTGGATCAATGGACAAGCTGAATTTTGCATGGAGGTCGTCGATGGTGACTTCGAGCTCTGTAATGTTGAGCCGGAGTCCTCTTGCTTTGTTTTTGCGTGCTGCAGGGACCTATGTAGAGACAGAAGACAGTGAAACTGATATCTCTAGACTCCTTGACGCTGTGGGGGATGGGGCCGATGAATTTTAGTAGGAGAAAATGTTGCAACAGGAGGGATACCCGCTGAAACAAATGAAGTAGCTCGATGAATCGATGGCCAGTACTTTTACCGAAAACATGTGGTCTCAGTGGGTGTAATTACTGATTGTTGATGGCGCGGCTACCGAATTTCATAGGGTATAGTATGGCTACTTATTAGCAAGAAAGGATACCCTTGATGTAAAGAACGGCTGGTGAACCAGGTCCATCTGTGTGAGCCAGAGACTGACTACGGGTGTACATTGTGGAGAAAGGAAACATGCAGGTACGGTTCCGTCGAGAGCCAATGATTTGAAATCTGTATTTGTGAGGTGAGCGCTGGGAAGGATCATCAAGGTCAAAGGGACATTGTCTGGCTGCTTGGCTTGTGATTGTCGCTGCGCTGCACGTTGTCCCTTCTCAACATTTGACGGTAGGCTAGAGCTGCTCTGCATACTTGTCTGTCAGACACCGAACGGAAAGAACTGGCTCGAAATAAGTGCCAGAAGGCATTCGCTGGGGCGGTGATGTGATTAGTATCGAGACTGTTGCACGACATCAACGACATTCCAATGGTGGGGTCGTGGAAGTGGAAACGAAGAGTAATCTCTCTAAACCGGCGTTATTGATGCAGTAGCCAAAAACGTCTATAACAAGGTAACGATTGAAGGAACTCGATTCAAAGATGAAAGTGACTGTCAACGTGGTACCTTATTCATCAATGCGTTGAACAGATGCGCAGCAGACAAAAACAAAGAGACGGGTAAGCCATGTGGGGTTCTTGATAATGATGGCAGATTGCGAGTGTGTGCCTGCTACACCCGCTGCAGTGGTAGTGCTGGTAGCATGGGCAGGAGGTGTCATGGACATCGTGTCAGCGGCAGGCTGACTTTGCAACGTCAACGCCTGAACTGGGCGCTGCTGTGTTCGTTTTACTTTGTCACTATCTTGTTGCGGCTGCGGAGCAACAATCAGTGCCTGCGCAGATATCATTGGACTTCAGAGATTGAAAACACGGCCCAACAACGACATACCTGCTTGTCTTTTACTGCAGGAACTTCGACAGTACGAGGGCCGCGACGAAGAGAAAAGAAACTTGTTCTTTGGCGTCGCTGAAACTTATTTGCCTCGCTGGTATACTGTTGAGAGCGGCGGAAGAGTGAAGAAAAGCTCCCATGGGGGCGGTGTGCAGAGGAATTTGGAGGATAAGTCCCGTGCGTCATAGAGGACTGAGAACGCAGAGGTCAGAAATATTCAATAAAATGCTTATGACGTACGCGATCACCATCGCGTGAGACGTCCAAAAACCCTCGCAGTAGTTGACTGGTATTCTTGAGCTGGGCTGGACGTCGCGCAGCATAAGACTAAAATGGTGATGTTGCGATCATTGAAAACTCAGGAAAAATTTATGTACCTTCCGTTTGAGTCCATTTTGTGCCACCTAGTAGTAAGAGCGGAGATTATCAGTGAGACAGAGTGGGCGATATGCTTGTACTCACATCAGGAATGGACAGGAGCTCTTCATGTCCAGCTTCATTTAGGATGGCATGAACGTCCCAGATGTACACATTGTGATCACGGCAACCTGTGACTAGCACCTTTCCATCATCGGAAAATGCTGCACAGTCGACACCATTTTTGTGCTGGAGGGGTGGTCCAACTGGGAGGTTTGTGTCGAGATTCCACAGACGTGCGGTTTTATCCAGTGATGTACTGACGAGGAGACGGTTGGTCCGAGATAAGGATACGGCTTTGATGATGTCGTGGTGACCTTCTAGAGTGGCGATCTGCTCCCACGTGACAGTGTTGAATATGCCAATGAGGCCATCGGATGACCCGGAGAAAAGCTTCGTTTCATCCAATGTCAAAGTCCACGCCAAGCTGTAGAGATCTTGATCATGCTTGATCGTGGCGAGTAGCTTGCCTGTGTTGGCATCCCAGACTTTTACTGCATCCTCGTCAATGTCATTCTCATCATATCCACGTGTCGCAATTTTTGTTGTGTCAGGTAAGTACATTACCGCCAGAATTTCCTTGTGACCAGTCTTGATCGGACCCACGACCGTTTTTCCAGTCTCGAAATCCCACACTCTCACCGTCCCGTCGTCAGATCCGCTCACCACTCGGTCGCTGTCGGCACTCCAGCACACTGACAATATACTCAAAGTATGTCCTTTCCATCTGGCGATGATGCTCCCTGTCTCGACGTCCCACAGCCTCACTGTCCCATCACGGCTTCCGCTGGCAATAGTGATGCCGTTTGGGGACAATGCTATGATGTTTACTCCTGTCTGGTCCTCCTCATCTCGCCAGCTGTCGCCGATCTGAGTTCCGCTCTCCAGGTCCCACAGTCGAAGCGAGCCGTCAAATGAACCTGTGATAATGCGTCGTCCGCATGGCAAGTGCACAACACCTCGTACCCAGTGTGTATGGCCTCCCATAATCTGGCGGGGCGTAACGGCGGGCGTTCGTTGTCTTGTCGGGGAAGACATGGTCAGGGTCTCGGCTCAGAAGATTGAGAACTAGATACGTTAACTGGCAATAAAATAGCTGGTGAGTCTACGGGCTTATCTTTGTTCACTTGAAAGAGCCTGACTCACAGGACGGCTTCACGACTATGGATGCAAGAGTGCAAGAAGCACTTTCAAGCAGATGTACGCAGCTGTCCAGTCACAATGAAAGGCGCCGGCTGTAAGTGGAACTACAGAAATGTTCATTCTAGTATCAAACAAGTCGCATGGTACGCACCTCTTCGTAGCTAAGGTGCGTCCTGAAGGCCTGATATCTCGGTTTCGTTTCACAGGTTAAGTGCTGTGTAGCCAGTGCTAGCCACGTGCGCCTGGCGTCTGTATAAACTTACCTGTTTCATAAGAGAACTCACACTGAGCTTGCTCTTCAACAAGTCGATCTGAATCCTCCACAGTACTGGACCTCGCACCTGTAAGCTCTCAATCTTCTGACCCTGTTATTGCTATGCCTAATCCTCGCTTGCAGCGAGCCTGTTCTCTCGAACAGACATTCATGTGTGAGTGGGGGTATCCAGATAGATTACGCTTTCCCACTCGATCCGTGGTCACGATCTCTCTTCCCACTTGCGGGGAGTCCACGGTATTTGTTGGCCCAACTGAGTCACGCGTCAAGTGCCGATGGAAGCACTGCGAACGGGAGCTGAGGAGATGGCACTGCTGAGACTTGTGCAAGAGGTACACCTTCCAACAGTGCACGCCTGCGAGAATGCGTTCTTGCGAAGAAAAGACACA